CCCAGAGTCCTGGGATGGAGTCCCGTATTGGGCTCCCTGCTCAGTGAGCCTGCTTTTCCCTCTCTTTCTGCCTGCTGCTCCCCACTGCTTATACTCTCTCTCTCTGTCAAATAAATAAATAAAATCTAAAAAAAAAAAAAAAAAAAAGAACGAAAGAAAGAAAGAAAAAGAAAAATATTTATCTGTTCCCGGACCTCCATCAAAAGTGACAAAGTAAAAGACAGCCTAAAAAGCCCCTCTTGGAGTATCATGCTAGGCGAAATAAGTCAATCGAAGAAAGACAACTATCATATGATCTCCCTGATATGAGGAAGTAGAGATGCAACATGGGGGGTTAAAGGGGTAGGAGAAGAATAAATGAAACAAGATGGGATTGGGAGGGAGACAAACCATAAGTGACTCAATCTCACAAAACAAACTGAGGGTTGCTGGGGGGAGGGGGGTTGGGAGAAGGGGGGTGGGGTTATGGACATTGGGGAGGGTTTGTGCTATGGTGAGTGCTGTGAAGTGTGTAAACCTGGCGATTCACAGACCTGTACCCCTAGGGATAAAAATATATGTTTATAAAAAATAAAATTTTTTTAAAAAAAGCCCCTCTTGTTTGGAGAAAAATTAGAAAGAAAAAATGTGGTTTTTTTTGTTTGTTTGTTTTTGTTTTTAAAGAGAAAAGCAATTCCTTTACTGTTTCACAAGCACATACCCAGCTTCTCTGAATCTTCTATATTTCTTCCTCTGCCTCTGGCAGCATTTGAATTCGTAGCTCGTGGTACAGACTGCCTGAGAAGGGAACGCAACGCAGCAGCCCATCCTTTCTTGGGAATTAGCTAACCAGCTGATGGGCAGTACTCTAAATGCAGCTCCGCCTCCAAGAATTAACTTGGATAAAGCACTCACTAGAATTAATCCACACTTAGCCTCCTAATACATCAAATAAGCCAAAAGGATAGTAATGACAATTTAAATACTTGGTCTGTGTACAGTACTGTTATAGGTGCTTTGCAATATATTAATCCATTCAATATTACTATTTTACAGATAAGGAAACTGAGGCACAAGCAACTTGTCCATAGTGCTGTGATCATCAACCTGCCTCCCCCCCAATTTTCTAGATAGGGAAACAGAGACACAAGTGACTTGCCCAAGGTTACATAACTCATAGGTGACAGAACTGAGACAGGAACCCAGGCTGACTCAAAAGAAAGGTCACAAAAGATCCAAAGATAATGAAATCTTTTGAGGATTTGAGAATGAGAGGCATTGGAAGTACTTTATAGCTCAAAGTCCAAATATGGAAACCAGTGATGTGGCCATGCTCTAGTTGGCCTCATTCTGCAATCAAACATCAGGGAACCCAGCAGGGACCTCCCCAGCACTGACTGTCTGCAATGGAGGCAAAGTGAATGCAGACAAAGAGGGCTTGGGTCCCAGTTTCAACTCAAATGCATCATCACATAGACTGAGCTCACAGGCTTGTTGATTGTTTTTAAATAGCAAATGATGTAGTGATGACTGAATGCCTTCACCTGTCCTGCAGAATTATCACCATCTCTTTGATTTTTGTGCTTTTTTTTAAAGGAAAGGTTTTTATTTTTATATTGTTATTTTTTGAATTGTTTCATTTTTTTAAAGTAATTTGTATACCAAATGTGGGACTTGAATGCAAGACCCCAAGATCAAGACTCAGATGCTCCACTAACTGAGCCAGGCAGGTGCCCCTCCTTGGGTTTTTCATACTGGGTGTGGGGAGTCGGCCTTTGCCTTTATCATGGGACCCACCTGGGATGGAAACCCTGACCACCCAAGCTCACAGCACTTGGGCAAAGACTGTTGTTGGGGTCATTTAGTGGCCTTTTTTTTTTTTTTAAAAAGATTTTTATTTATTTGACAGAGATCACAAGTAGGCAGAGAGGCAGGCAGAGAGAGAGAGGAGGAGGCAGGCTCCCTGCTGAGCAGAGAGCCCGATGTGAGGCTCAATCCCAGGACCCTGGGATCATGACCCGAGCCGAAGGCAGAGGCTTTAACCACTGAGCCACCCAGGCGCCCCCATTTAGTGGTCTTTTTAAAGATGTTCTTTTTAACTCAAACAGAAAAAATTTCTGGGACTGTCACATATTGTAGATTGCCCCAAACCATTATTCTGACAAAAACTGAGATGCTCTTGACACACCCATTTTTTGCAGCCCATCCAGTCTTTTGATGAACACCAAACAGAGGTCTTTTCCCCATAATGCTACTTGCTGCGGGCCCAATATGTTCTGGGTCCAATTTCTTCATTTTCCTTTACGGAATAGATAGCAGAGTATACAGAGAGAATGGGATACAAAATACACATCATTTGTAAGACAGCAGTTTGATCAGTTAAACCGGTTCTCTCAGGATTTGCTAAGTCTAGTCCAGATCCCACGGGTAGAGCTAAAGGCACCAACCCCTGTGACTTGGAGGACCTCTTGGTCCTTAGGTTTACTTTCTATGCAGTCGGGACATTGGACTTGATGAAGTGAGGCAGTTGTCTGCTCTAATGATCTCTGATTCTGTGATTCTGTGTCAGGATTCAAGTTAGTTTTGTCTAAGAAAGAAAAAGGGGGGGGGGTTGCTCAGTGGCTCAGTCATTAAGCATCAGCCTTCAGCCCAGGTCATGATTTCAGGGTCCTGGGATTGAGCCCCGCATTGGGCACCCTGCTTGGTGGGAAGCCTGTTTCTTCCTCTCCCACGCCCCCTGTTTGTGTTCCCTCTCTCACTGTGTCTCTCTCTGTCAAATAAATAAATAAAATCTTAAAAAAAAATAATTTAAAAAAATAAAGATTAAAAAAAAAATGGACCCAGTGTTCCCACTTTTCCCGTCACACACATAAGAGCTAGCAAAGGGAAAGTAGCCCAGAGTGACCCTGTCCGCTGTATGACATCTCTCTGTTAGAGGGGGGACAGTGCCCCACTGGCTCAGCCAGGCCCCCAGATCAGAATCTACTCCTTCCATTCCCTTAGTCCAGCTCAAACGTCACCTCAAGAGCCTTCCGTCCCACGATAGCTCTCTACCCCAGCCACCACAGCAGCCTGTCGCTGGGGTCAGTGACACACAGGCCTGCCCTCAGGATCGGCAGTGACACTCACCGCGCTCCCTTCATCTCTGTGCCCTCACACCTCACATTCCACTTGCACATAGTAGGTACTCATTGTTCGTATGATCGAAATTTGAATTTTAGTCTTTGCTATTTATTTCCTGTACCAACCCTGGTAAGTATCTCCCAACACAGCGCTATTTCCTCACGTGCAACGTGATGATCATCAAATTGTTCGACCTGACCGGAAATGCTCTGGAATTCTAAAATGGAAGGGCAGTAAATACCACAGAAAGGCTGCTGCCGGCAGGCCGCCAGGGTCCTCCCACCGCAACGCTGGAATTACTGCGTCTCAGGGAATCACAGAAAGGCCTCCTCAATGTCATCAGCTCAGGCCTTTGGCCTTTGGGCAAAGCTGTATTCAATGAACACAGACATACAGCTCTTTTTCGCTTGTAGAGTTCCGGCAAACCTCTGAAACCAATGTCATGGTTTCTCTGTCTAGGTGACATCGGGGAAAACCTTCCCCAATTCCCTCCCCTCAGCTTCAATCCTCAGCGGAGGCAAAGAACATCTGCTCATGACCAGCAGTGCTCGTTCCCAGCCTGCAGGCTGAGGGCAAGGACAATGGGAGTCCACTCTTCAGTCTGAATCTCAGACCGTCATTGAATAAATGTCACAATTACTAATTCTTCAAGAGAGAACACAGAAAACGGTACACAAACTTGGTCTTACCTGGGAATTGCAGTTCACGGGCCCTGCTCAGACCCTTCTGAGCAGCTTTTCTCCCTCCGCCTCAATCGTGTTACACTGAAACTTATCTGTCCTCCTAGGAAAGCTGAATTATGTGCAAAATCTTTCAATGGCCCTTCTCACGGCACTTCAGAGCTCCCTTTTACTTTATCCTGCAGGTAATAGCACATCATACTCTGGGTCCAATAGTGTCATAACTTCGCAAGAGTTAAGTTAATACTGTTAATTTACTTTAAAAAGGGTACTAAAAATAGTACATCTGCGTTTATATTTTCCTCTCTGGGGCCTAATCTTTCTGCCCATATTCATCTCAGCAAAAACATCTTCTAAGTACTCTGCCTCTTAGGTTAGCGCTTTTTTCTGCCTTGGGGACAGCCGCTTGAAGCTAGGAAAGCCAAAGGAACCTTCTTTATGTGGAATTTGCTTTGCTTTTACCGAAGGCGATTTTGGCTATCGCATCAACTGGAGTGAGGGGAGAAGAAAATTAGCTAGCTGGTATGCCTCTGCTATTCCCCAGAAACTGCTCACACCTCTCCCTCCCTCTCCTCCTTCAACCCCACTTCTGAGCAAAGAACGCTTCGTGCACCAGGGCCCTCAGTAGCATGACTTCCCACTGCTTCTCCTATAGGACCAAAGGGTGCTCGGGCCTCGAACCAAAAAAAAGTCTTTGGTCACTTGGAGATTATTTCTAAACGAGGGCACATCACTATAGGTGGCTCCTGGGGACGGTGCAGAGCTGAAGTTAGCGTGAGAGGCTGATGAGCAAGAGGAAGAATAACACTCCGACTTACGTGAAACTATGGATGAGCTCGGGGACAGCCCCCCCAGGCTTAACAATGAAGGCTGTCATAGGTGACAATAGTCCAGCATGGCGGCCTGCCTGAGAACCACCTCATGATTGAAGTGGGGCAGGGCAGGCTGAGGTGAAGAAGGAGGAAGTGAACGAGAACATACGGTGTAGCTCAAGGGCTGTGCAAATCTTGTAACTCAGGGGCTGATCTCACTCAACGGAAGGTGCTTCACTATCACACACAACAATCACGCTTAAATAAATTTACTGTCAGAGCAAAGGCAATGTCCAAGAGGCCAAAACCATTAATTATTATCTTCTGGGAAGTACAAGTTCATGCAGATAGTAACTTTCATGACATTGTCAAGTATGTAGTTGGACATTACACCGTAATACTTTACCTTGGGCTCTGGGACATTATCTTCCATAGCAACGACGAGGGCAGCCACTCGTTATCAGCACTTTAGCACAGGTCATATTACACCTACAGAAAGGTAAAATATGACTCACCTTGATCTCTCCTCACAAGCCCTTGGCCATTGCTGTACATTTATCAAGTGGCTACTAAGAGGTCCGGGTGACGTGGTAAAAGCACCAAAGGAAATGCAAGGCACTACTGTGGCCCTCCCATTTTAAAAAATTGAGTTAAGACAACAAACCTAAAACTCTGGAAAATTTTAAAGTAAGAGAATATATAACCCAATCCAATCAGTATAGAATGAATGCTAATTAAGTTCAACAGGACCTAAATTCAACACAGAGATAGCATAAAGTGGAGGAAACTTTAGACTACAGAATTAGATTTTTTTTTTTTCCTGTAAGGGACTTTAATGATGATCCAATGCCTTCACTTTATGGATGAGACCTAGAGACCCAATTAATATGAATGGAATCTTGGGACGCCTGGGTGGCTCAGTTGGTTAAGCAACTGCCTTCGGCTCAGGTCATGATCCTAGAGTCCAGGGATGGAGTCTGCACATTGGGCTCCCTGCTCAGCAAGAAGTCTGCTTCTTCCCTCTGACCCTCCCCCCTCTACGCTCTCATTCTCTCTCAAATAAATAAATAAAATCTTAAAAAAATATGAGTAGAATCTTTGTTATCCTCAGAGTAGCACATATTTTAATGTGTGAATTTAAGAAGTGTTCTAATAGTCTTTTTAAAGTATATAACTGTATTGTTAATCCTGAACCACATACTAAAAAAAGGGGGCAGATGATGTGCTTTCTTCAAACTCGGAGACGACTTCACAAGTCCACACGTACAGGGCTTCATTTCACCTGCACAGGTGAGCCAGGACACAAGCACTCTTTCTATGAAGGTTTCGACTTTCAAAGCACAGTGAGTCAGGCACTGACTCATTGTGCCAGGACACTTCAGTTTCCTTGCAAGGCAATAAGGAATGGAAGCTTTCCACTGGGCTTGAGTAGCTCCTTAGGATCGGCTGCATAGTAGTATTTTCCTAACATCACACAGCACCTCACTAGGAGCAGAGAGGGTGAGTTTGGATGCCCACATGAACTTTCCTTACCATCCTGAGAAGACCTGTGCTTACTCTCTTCGTTCTCTGGCTGCAAGTAAAGACATCTCTGATTTCTTCCTGCTGTAACACTCAGCACTGTAGTGCAACTTGCCCACAGAATGACTCGTTTTACCAAATTGCTTTTATGAGGTAATTTTCCAGAACACATGTGTATGGATAACAACATCAGAGCTGTTTCAGGGTAAGCAAAGTCACAACCTAGGATAGGGTGGCATCGTAATCCCCAAACAACGTGTGTGTGTGTGTGTGTGTGTGTGTGTGTGTGTGTGTGTTAATCAGCCTGTGTACTCCTCTGCACGTTCTCCTAGCCACATGTGCTGAGGTCCACAGAGAGGAGATTTCTAGTCCTCCACTCATCTGCCCCTCTCAGGATGCTGTGGCTGGCAAAGTTAGCCAAGGAGAGATTTTACAGTTAAGTGAGACTCTCCTCACAGGCTGACAGATCAACATACATAGAAAGGTCACTGCACCCAGAATTCTGCCAAGAAAGCACCAGGCAAGGAGTTCTGCCATTAATAAAGATGCTCACACACACCCCACTAGCAGAAAAATAGAAGGCCTAGGTACAACTCCAACTCAGCAAGATCCCAAAAAATGAAACAGAGGTGCTTTCTGCAAGAGAAGCAGTGAGAGGAAAACACACACACACACAAAACTAGAAGGTAGTAGTGTTCCTGGCAAGGTTCAGATGGAAAAACAGCAACATCCCAGAAGCAGAGTTGCAGCCAGGAAGAACCTCAGCTCAAGCCATGTTAAGTAAGGTCAGGATAATGCTCAGGGAGGATTCACTGCACGCCTGTCTGTCCTCTGGGTCTCCGGGCTGAGCCGTGACTTGTAGTTTACTACAAGTCAGTCAACTAATACCTACCAAATAGGTCCTAAATGTTCAGGCCCCTTCGAGTCACTGAATCACTGGGGGATGTAGGGCAGGACCAACCCTGTAGAGATACTATAGACCATCTTCACACCACCCCCTGCTAGGGGAGGCATGGCCCCTCTTTTCAAATCTAGGAAATCCCACCAGGCCGAAGGAATAATCAGTGCCCTCGGGCCCTGACCTCAATTCTGCCTGACTCCAAAGCCCAAGACATTACACTACTGTGCATAAACTATGGCTTCTGCCCTGAAGAGGCTTAAAATAACCTAAACCAATTAGAGATCAATGCAGCCAATGTAATGAAGGATTAACAAACAAGTATCCTCCTCTCCCACTCCCCCTGCTTGTATTCCCTCTCTCGCTGTCTTTCTCTCCGTCAAATTAAAATCTTAAAAAAAAAAAAAAAAAAAAAAAGACTTTAAAGAAAGAGGGTACCTGGGTGGCTCAGTTGTTAAGCGTCTGCTTTTGGCTCAGGGCATGATCCCAGGGTTCTGGGCTCCCTGCTCAGTGGGAAGCCTGCTTCTCCCTCTCCTGCTGCCCTGCCTATGTTCTCTCTCTTGCTCTCTCTCTTTGTCAAATAAACGAACAAAATCTTAAAAAAAAAAAAAAGACTTTAAAGAAAGAGAAGAGAGGGGTCCCTGGCTGGGTCAGTCTGGAGAGTGTGGGAGTCTTGATCTCAGGGTCATGAGTTTGAGCCCCACGTTGGGTGTAGAGATAACTTAAAAAAAAAAAAACTTAAAGAAAGAGAAGATAAATGAGTAGTTAGAGAACATGTTAGGGAAGGAGGGTGTGGGATCCTTCTCAAAGGATGGGTAAGATTTGCCCAGGAGAATGGGGAGGAAGGGGGGTTTCTAGGGATGCAATCTGGGCAATGACACTGCAGTGGGAAGGAGCCTGGCCCCCTTAGCAGGACAGCCAGACCAAGCAGCATAGAGCATGGGGACAGGACATATGCTGAGCTGAAAATAGGATTTGGATAGGAGGGGTGAGGCCTGATTATGAAGGCTTTGAAAAATCAGGCAAATTATTTTCAACCCGAGATAGCACATGGAGAGGAACCATGTTGAAAGGCAAGGAGAGAGTCGAGGAAGTGATGGTTTAGAAAAATTAGAGGGACAAATGCTGAAGAGAAGAGAAAGGGGAACGTCTCATTCATTCACTCACTCCTTCATTCAGCAAACAGGTACTGAGGACTTGTTAAGAGCCAGGCTTGGGTGGCCAGCTAAGAGGCTGTTCCAGTCCTCCGGAGAGGAAGGGTGAGGTTCTGGATTAGAATATGGAGGGAGGGATTGGCATAAATCACATTTCAAAGGTCTTGGTGACTCACGGATACAAAGGATGAAGGAAATGAAGGAAAAGATGGCTAAAGATAATTCCAAAGGTTCAAGATTGACATGATTTTCCACCTTTATCGGGAACCTCAAAAGGCACTGAGAATAAAACAATGAAAGTATAAAAAGTGCTTTGTTGGTGCTGCATGGTCAACAAAACCCCCAAAGACCTGTTCTTTATCCTGGGAGCCCATTTACAGGTAGTCTGTAGGTAAGAAACTTCAGTGAGAAAAACCACTTCTGTGTGAGTAAATGCGGAGTTCCCTTGGCAAGGAGCACAGACCTCTGCCTACTCAGACAGGTTCCATCAATCCTCCAAGACATCCCCCTATCATCTAAAACAAAACCGATCTCACTAAGAGACAGGGCTGCCCACTGTGCCCAGCCAACAGCTTTGACTTTGGAGAAGGGGCAAGGCAAAGTGGACAGGGGGTAAACAGAAAGTAGGCAGGGTCCCTAGGGGGCTGGACCTTAGGGAACGGGGCAATAGTACAGGACATCATTTTAAACAGAGGAACCCCGCACTGCTCTCATTTCTACACCCACTGCCTAGTGTTTTACAATTACTGGTCAGTCCTCAGATAGATAGGAAGGCCTTAAAGAGTCCTTACCAAATTAAAAAAAAAAAAAAAGGTTCTTTACCAAATTGCAGCTCTTTGTCCAGAAACTATTTCAAATGTGCATATGTATGCATACATCAACTCCTAGTACAGCTAGCATATGTCTGAGACACAAATTCTTCTTAATAATTTATATGTTGACTACACAAATTTCAAGCTCATTTTAATTTTACATTCAGCAACAGTACAATTCACTATTGGGGCACATCCTCAAAGCCTACTCACTGGAAAATGCAAGAAATGAGAAGTGTAGCTATCAAACTTCTATTGCTACGAAGAGTGCTCCGGACCAAAATAAAAACACAAATCTCAATACCTTGGAGAAATCTAGACTTGCACGCAAAATTCAAGGCAGTATCCTCTCAGCATAGCCCAACTTTAGTAAAAGCAGATCTTTACTTAATTATAAGCAGAAATGAATATTCTCTTCCGCAGAATGATGCCTTAAACCACTTTTATATTTAAAAGTAAAAGCCCTCAATGTCAGTGTCCAAGTCAGACTTGAAAAGGCACATTACAAAAGAAACGGCTGCTCTGGAAAAAAATCCTTCAACACCCCTCTCCTAACATCTACTCAGGTTAGTAAGAAGAAATCAGAGGAGAAAGAAACCCAGTGAAAAATGGTTGCACATAAATGTGAGAGGATTCCTGCTAAGACCCCATGTGGGACAGCCACAGGCCTAGTCAGGAAAATTCCAAGAACAAGTCCTCCACATTCTACTAAAGGGTCTTCAAAGCCGGCTCGGGTCTTTCCTCTCCCTATCACCGAAAGGTAAACACCCATCAAAATCTTCCAGACTCCGAGCAACCCGGAGTTTCCAAGCCAAGAGGGAGAGAGCCACATGACCGCGAGACAAACTACAGCCCATGAGCCTCTCCCTCTCCTTCCAGCCCCTCGTGGGGGCCCCGGGTAGGGGTCCCCCCGCAGCTCCAGTCCTTCGCCCCCTGTGACAGATCTCCCGGCAGAAGCCCCTAAATCCCTGGCCCCACTTACTGGCGCCGCGAACCCAGGCGGGGGCCCGCCCCTGCGGTGAGCGCAGCTCCTCGGCGACTGGGGCGCAGCGGCCCGCAGGGGAACTGGGGATGGGGGCGATCCCTGCTAGGACGGGCCGAGCGGTCCGTGCAGGGACGCCCGGGAGGTCCGGCGAGTCGCACGGGCCGCGCGGCGCATGGTGGAGCAGCAGGAACCCGGCCGCTCTCCAGCCTCCGGCAGAAAAACAAACAAAAGGCAGGGAGGCTTCTAGCGGGGACGACCGGCCGCTTTCCCTGGGAAAAGTTACCCTGCAGCTCCCCTCGCTGGCCCTGCGCGTCCCTGCACCGCGTCCAGGCCGCCCGGGGGCGCCGAGCCGCGGCGCTGCGCTCCCCTCCGGGGCGGACCGAGCCCAGGGATCCCTGCGGCCCGCTGACCGCCCGTGCGCCCCCCAGCTCCACACACACGCCTTTTTGCAGGTCGGCTGCCTCAGGTACACAGCTTTAGATATGGAGGCTGTGGGCGCAGGTTCTGAGTACATTTCATTACAGGTAATCATGGTGAAAACCCTTTCCCGGCTTTCGGAAAACATAACCGGGGACGCACGACATTGTGAATGCAATCAATGCCCCTGAAACGTACACTCCAACACGGTTAAGATGGCAGATTGTGTTAGTTTTCCCGCAAGAAAAATATTTTAAAATAAACACGCAACGGATTGCCCGTTCGCGTTCATGTGAGCTGGAAGAGTTCTATAGTTAGCAACTTTAGTTTGAAAAACTGGATTGTTATCCAGGTGGGAAACGCACTAGATATGATGTACGCAACAATTGTCCTCTGTGTGAAACTAGTTACATGTAACCGAACGCTTGTGTGCTAAACACACTTGTGTCCTAAATTATACTGTAGACATTACCTTAAATCAACCATACAAGGACTGGTTCGGAAGTGCCTTGAGACAAGAAACTGCTTCAAGGCTCCCGATTTAAATTAATGTAATTGCCCCACGTCTTTATGTTTTTCAGAACTAGTTTAATGCCCATAGCGGGGGGGGGGGGGGGGCAACTTTAGTTGGAGGCATTACAATCATCTGAGGACTTGTGAAAACAGACTGATGGGCCTTATTCCCAGAATTCTGGTGTTGATGCTTCTGGTCCCGGGAACCGTACTGCCATAAGCAACACAATTTTAATCAATAAAGCAATAGCCCATTTACACACTGCAGATCTTTCTCTGAGTTTAGATTCTCCAGCTCATCACCATATCGATTTTCTCTGCTTTTATTTTTGAATTCTAAGAACTCAGCATTGTTTTTTCCTAATAGAATCTATAACAAAGACCTGAATCCCTCTCTATTCTTGCTCCTATTGAAGAAACCCACAAGACACAAGATTTCCTGTCCCAGAAGGGAAAGGATCATCTGGCCACTTGGGAAATGTATAACATTTATCTATCTTTGTGTTTACCTGTATAACACCCAAACCATATGGTAAATGAAAACTGAAAGTCTTTATCAATGAAAAGACAAGGAGACAAGAGGGGTGAGCTAATAAATTATATTCTGCTCCCATGAAAGGTGATTTTTAAAGTATCTAAAATTACCAGTTGTCCCAGCAAGTCTACCCAGCAAATATAGGGACTCTCTTGTTCTACCTTTAACAAGGGTCCACTAAGCTAGTATGTGATTTAGGTCAGGAAAATTATAATCCTGTAAACATAATATGATAGGATAATACAAACCTGAAGTATAGTGGATACAGGGGATATTGGTCTAAAATAGAATATTAGTAACTGAAATAGAAGAGCATTTTATTTATTTATTTAAATTTTAATTTATTTATTTGACAGAGAGAGAGACAGAGAGAGAACACAAGCAGGCGGAGCAGCAGAGGAAGAGGGAGAAGTAGTCTGCCCGATGAGTAGGGAGCATGATTAGGGATGGATCCTAGGACCCTGACACCATGACCTGAGGGGAAGGTAGCCGCTTAACTGACTAAGCCAACCAGGTGCCCCATATAACATTTTAATAAAATGGGTGTTTAATTTATCATTATGAATACTAATTATTATTTTAAGATTTATTATTAATTAGAATAGAAATCATCTGTATTAATTAACCAAGATATCTTAAATTAGCAGTCAACATGTTTAATGAAATGGAGTAGTTCTGAAAACATTTCAGTACCTCATTGTTTATTTGCAAAACTAATTTTTTTGTGTTCATGAGTCACATATCATTTTCTTCTACTATAAATCCTTACATCTGACCTTCCCACCCATTTAAATTGCAAAATCTAATTTTAAAGAGGTCATTGGGAGGAAATCATTCTTAAAAGACTAACGTTTCCTTTAAAAATTAAAACTGTTAAGTTTCTTGGCCTTCGTTAAACATGAAGTTCCTTTTTCTAGGTAGCTGATTTAGGGAGCAATAAAAACACCTATCTGAAGGGTGGATCCTAATATTAAAAGAAAGCAGTTGGGTTTTCTTATTGTAGCTTATTTTACCCCCACCCCCACTTTTTTACTCTTTTTTTTTTTTTTTTTTTTGCTGAAGATGTATTGCATTTCTAGTATCTCCAGAATAAAATAATGGATAATAGATGTAAACTCTGGAACCCAATCTTGGAAACCTAATCACTGCTAGTACCTAACACTTGGTAGAAATCGTAGAAACTCAGTAAACGTTTGCCAAATGAAGGTATGAGGCTGTAAGACTGTAGGTTTTCACAGAGCATGCAAACTTCCGTACTGAAAATAATGTAAAGTGTGGAAACATAATAAATTGCCTGATAAATAAGGGTGTCTTCTTAGGAAGCAAAGTCAGGTGTTTGGGCTTTAAGAGGTGGGGCTAGTATCGCGGGATAAGCTCTGGCACTCTACGAAGAACAGCGGACTACAAATCCCAGAGTACCTCCCGGGTGCCGTCTCCGCAGGACTCGGGTTTCAGGGCCTTGGAAGCCCCAACGTCTTTCGCCGGTTGCATGATGGGATCTATAGTAAGACATGCTTTGCGGGGCGTTTATTTTCTCTTGCTTCTCTCCTGAGCCTATCTTTTCCTCAACCTCCAGATCCGTGCTTTCAAAAAGTTTAGCCATTCTAACAGCCTGTGACTGTTAGTGGAGTTTCACTGTTTCCCCGCATTCCCGGCTTGGGACTCTGGACAACCTCGGAAAAGCGTACTAGCGACCTCCCGGAGCACCAAGTTCAATGTTCTTTAAGGGTTGTTCGCCGTAGGGTCTCAACCCTAAGTTTTCAGTTATAAACACTTTTTAGATAATTATAGTTTAAGTTTGCATAAGGGGTCACTGAGACAAACACGTGGGTTGAATTTCGGGTCGGCAAATTGGTGACCCGATTGCCAATTCCGCGTCGCGCACGCAGTAGGCTCACGCCACCGACCCCTCCACTAGGCGGCGCGCGCGGGGCAAGTGAGCCGGGAGGTGCACGCAAGCAGTGGCGGTACTGCGCATGCTCAGTGCGCCGACACAGGTTTCCGCAGTAGAGGGGGGTAGCTACGCCGCGGCGTCCGGGCTTTCCAGCAGCGCCGACGCTCTGGTGTTCGTCCGGTCTTCGGCCTCCGCTAGCAGCGGGCGTCCCTCCGCTCCGCGACTTCCCGGCCGTGGCTCTAGCGCGCCCGGATCTGGCCCCCTGCCCCGCGAAGATGGCTGCCGTACGTCGGGCCCGCAGTTACTGCCGCTGCCTGGTGCGCTTCTCCGACCGAGAACTCTGCTAAGCCCCGTTGCAGCAGACGGGCAGGAGTAGACACCCGAACACCCAGCACACCTCCTCAGGGGAGCGGTGCAGAGGGGGCGCGGAGAGCCCCTCGACCGCGGCCGGCTGCCCCGCCAGCATGGTAACCCGGGAGGGGACTCGGAGGGATACTGCGAGGCAGGAGTGCGGTGTGCAGAAGGGGGTAGGCCTGGGAGGAGCCCCGAGAGAGCGGGAAGTGGAGACTGGGAGGAGTGGGAACTGCTCGGCCGCCACCCACTGTAAGGCCCTTGGCCTGAGCGGCAGTGGAGCGGGTGCCAGCCCTGACCGCTCCCCGCGGTTCCTTCCTGCTGAACTCTCCCCCCCCACCCCCGCCCCACGCGGCCCCCGGTAGCCGGGACCAGATGTGAGGAAGAGCGGGTGTGCAGGAGAGCAGAGAAGAATGCCTTTTCTTGGTTCGCTGAGGACAGCGAGCCAGTCTTACTCTCCTCTGGGGATTTTATCCAAAGCAATGAGGATAGGTTGAGGTGAGCCGTAGCAGGTCTGAAACTGGCGGGCGGGGAAGGGGGGAAGCCTTGACAAACGGAGACACTTGTTGATTTATTTCCCCTCCGGAAAGCAGTACCCACGGAGAAGCCGTTCAGATCCTTTAAGGAGTCCTGAGGTTGGGACGCACCGGCCCCGTGACGCGTCATTGCCGAGGGTAGGATGTTGGCAGGCGGTCCTGGCTGTGTGGGATCAGAGGGATTATGTCTCACCTCCGAGCGGTGAGGGCCTGAGCAGCGTCAGTGCGGTCCAAATGGAGAGGGACTGAGTTAAGCTCCAGAAATTGACAACGCAAATTCCATGGGACTGTTGCATGCTGGAATATGTAGTCTCTGCCCTATGCTACCTTTCTTTGGCTTTGAATAAATTTCCCATCTGAGAAACTCATCTCTAGCTAGGATTAAATGAATCGAGTGTGAAGTGATACCAGACTAATGAGTTCGTCGCAGACAGTCAAATATTTATTGAATAAGTGGATGGCTGAAAGAATTTATTATATTAAGTTAACCTGGAGGATAGAAAAAGCAGTAACTGACTGTGCCCTTCAACTTTCGGAAGTGGTTCTCTGACCAGGATTAAGCACTTAATTTCTTATATTTCGTTAATCCTGTTTGTAAAACAGGAGTAAAATGATGGAGACGTGAACTTCTCGCGCGAAAGGTGCTGCTCAGTTATGAAAAATAACGTGAAAATCTCTGGGTGACAGCTGGGGACCTATTTATCTCAGTTGGTATTTGAGTTGGCAAAATGTAGTAAAACCCCCAATTTATAGTCCTCGTACAGCCAGAATTAAAGTAATAGAGGATTGGAATTCAATAATAACAGGAAATCAGGGGAGAAGATGCTTTCTGTATTGTTGATTTCTCATTTCCTCATCCTTGAGATATGCACAATTGGTTAATTTGGTTTTTTGTTGTTGTTGTTGTTGTTGTTGTTGTTTTTGTTTTTTTAGCACTTACTAGTAGCCTGGCATAATGTTAGAGTCCCAGCACAATATTAGAGCTTCATTATAACCAGCTCAAATCACCA